CGTGATTATATTGCTTTCTACTATTATATATATATATATATATATATATACACGCTTATATATTCTACATAGTTTTATATTTAATGAAAAAAATATATAATTCGATGTGTATGAATAAAAATAAAAATTGTACTATAATTATTCCCACAATTAAAAAAAAATAATGGGACATTCTAAAATTATCTTAATAATTGTGACGTTTTTTTTTTTCTCAGAGACTTATTTATGTTTATATTTTTATCATAATACGTTACCTGAATGTAATCTACAATTGCAATTACCGTTGCATTCTTAGTGACGCGATGTTATTACCCGTTACAGTCATAATTATAAGGTTGGAAGGAATGGTTAATGTAAGTTGAGACAACACAATCAACACAATGTTGAAAACATATCAAATATGACGTTAACTTGTGTCAAATGAAAAATTATTATCAACGTTAGATTTTTCTTTTATACATCTTTTGACTCATTTTTTTTTCATTTTTCATTATTTTCGATACCTTTTGTATTTTTGTTCTAATTACCCACATTGGCGAGAGTGCGCGTAAAACACTTTACGCTTGCTGATCATGAGAGTGTACCGTTATCACTTACCTAAACTTTCATTTTAGAGATACATAGTACGTATTTCAAATACGTTTACACTTCTATTTGCATATTTAAAGAACCATATCTTTATTATACACACACATACACATATATATGCGTATATCATTTTATTTGTTTACGCTAATATATCTTTATTATCTTTGAAACAAACAGTATAACATTCTCACGTTTATCTTATAAATAGATTCTATGAATTAACGGAGCAAATCCGGTCGGTTGATAGGAATTTATAATACATTTCTTAAATTTAAATATCGTGAGATAATCGTGCATTTAAATATTTGTTTTTTTATTCAATACAAGAAGATTACAAACGTACGTTATATTTAATATGAAAATTTTGCATTTATATCTTTGTTCTCGGAGAAAGTTAATTAAAGAAGAAAAAAAAAGGGAAAGAGAGGAAAGGATATCAAAATAAAACTGCTAGATCATTTTTCAAATTTAATAAGCTTGTCATGTAATACGTAATTCTGATCTTTCAGGTTACTGGAACAAAAATTGTTTCTCCTAGGTACATTATACTAAGACAAGAAAAGAAAAGAAAAGAAAAGAAAGAAGAAAAGAAAAATAAGAAAATAATATTACCTTTGACCTGGAGTTCTCGTCAAGATCAAAAAAAAGGATGAATGTACAAAACGGACATCATCAAAGAGAATGAAGCTTAGATCTCTTTCTCCTTCTTTAAAGAACTTGCTAGGAAAGTGTAACAGTAGGTTTCTCAAAGCATCAGTTAGGTACGCTCCCTGCCCGGTACGCTGGAGATGAACAGTGAGGTTCATCCAATATATGGAGACGTACGAAATCAGTCGAAGTAGTTTAACAAAACGCTTTGCTCTACACTCTCGGCAACACTCTGAGTGATTTTTTTAGTGGAAGGATATTCATTTTTAACGATCATCATCCACCAAAAATTTGGATGGATCTTTTCTATGAATTATATCACTAACGATAAAGCAGAAGAGAAATATTTTATATATCTCTGTTCGTTCTAAAGAAAAATCCAATCTCTTCGAATAATCCGAGTATGCACGCGAGTATTCAATGTGATTCAAGTATTATATCGAAAGTTAAATGATATTTGAAAATATGTTATCGGTGTGTATATTGTTAAAGAATCATCTGATAAGTTTTAAAGTGTTGTATATTTCGTTTTAATTGAAATAAGTTTATTGTTCGTTTTAATGATGATCTCTTGAGAGAATGAAGAAACGTGTTATCGAACTATGTATTATGTTTATAATCGTACATTGTGAAATGCTAGAAAAATTCAAAGGGATTCGTAGATGACACTAAATTGTTTTTATTTTATTCATTGATTAAAAACGTGTCTGATGCATCCAATAGAAATTAATATATCCTTCAACGCGATAGCTAAGCAATTCGCTTGCAAGCGTAGAAGAAGTATTGTACCTTTAACTTTAAAATTTATTTTATTTATTACCATATTTTATTGTGAAGTTCGAGGTACGTATATATTTATTAATACAATTTTTTTATTGTAAATTACTAAAGATTTTTTTTTTTTTTTTTTGTATAAGAAAATTCGATGAGAAATGATACGCACATTTGGTTTGAAAGTTTTATAAAATTACAAAACTATAATTGGAAATTCTTTGAACGAGCTCTGATTACTTTTATACGTTTACAGATTTCGAATGCATTACTCACGCGATGCGATTCTTTTGATATTTTTTTAAAGAGTTGCACGAAAGCGTAAAATGTTAGAGACTGAAAGTAAATTATAGTAAAATACACGATAGAAATATATATATATATATATATATATATATCATTTTTCAATGAATTATTGTAATTAATGTATATACATTTTTGTCTAAGTAATAATAATTTATTATTTATTTTTACAGCAACAAATGTAACGCCATATACGATAAGAAAAACGAGCCATGGCTTAATTCATAGAGTTCATCGCGATGATTCGAATATCAAAGAATCAGTCATAGAACATGCTGAAAATTTAGAAAATTTGAAATCTTCGAAAAATACAAATGTAAGTGTACAATTTGATTTATCAACGCTTACCAATGCTACCAAGAATATTACCAAAGCTGATAAAACGATGTGAGTATATTGTTTTCAATAAGAAACAAAAATTAATTTATTATTTAAATATATACAATTAAAATTAATAAATTAATACATAATTGTGTAATTAAAAGTGATGGAGGTGAACTTACTAATCATACAAGATTTAAAAGAGGCGTCATTCATCTTTATAATATGGTAGTGTGTGCAACAGGATGTAATCCACTGGCTTATAAAGGATATGGTTGTTACTGCGGCTTCTTAGGATCTGGATATGTCATTGATGGAATTGATCGGTAAACCCTTCATTTTGTAATAAATTAATCAAAAAAATGTTGTGTGTTTTCCTAATGAAAAATTATTATTTTTAGATGTTGTAAAATGCATGATTGGTGCTATGATGCTACAGAATGTCCAATATTCATGGAATATATAGCACCATATTATTGGAGATGTTATCATGGTCACAAACCTGTATGTGGTAGGTATATCATTAACTGTTATAAGTTACAATTAGTCAAAATATACTGTGTAACGTAACAAATAATGTTTTTTTGATTTATAGCCGTTGAACATGGTAAATGGGGAGGATCAGGTTCGTGTGCTCAACGTTTATGCGAATGTGACAGGACTTTAGCTGAATGTTTGCGTCGTTATCCTTGCCCAACTACAAAAGCTGTTTGTACTTCATCACCTTGGAGACTAGTACAAAATCTTTTCATGATTATGTAGTTTCACGTACCATGTCAATTTTTAGGTATACCAAAGATGTAAAATGTATATTTTATAATGCAGATTAATAGTTTTCTATAATATATTTACAGATTGCGCATCTTTTAAACAGCAGAGCTTTTTATACCTCAGGAATTTATATTACAAAAATATAAAGTATAACTTTGTTTTAGTTACTCTTAATTTAAGAGTTTACCAGATGTTATAATGAAGAATAACTCTGTATAATTTATTTTATGTAAGTTTTATATTATTTAATTACTTTTAATTATTACTATTATTACAAGATAGGACCTCCCCTGATATGCACAACTCTATTTTGATATTTTTTAGAAATATCTTGTTCTATCTGTAAGAATATAAGAAGATTTGAGTGTTATTTATCATAAGTGCATTTATCAAAGATATTTTATCATAGTTATTAATAATTTTAAATGGTACCTCAGTCTGTAATTCTTTCATTCTTTGTACAGCATGATTTAATACAGGCTGCAAATTTATTATACGTTCTTGCGCTTCTTTCTTCTTTTGTACAGAAGTTTCTTGATACTTTAACATTCTCTCAACTACTGCTAATTTTTGTTGCAATGATAACGTTAATGTATCCGCGTAACTGCAAGAAATATTTAGCTATTTATAAAATGAAAAAGAAGTAAAGGAATATATTATTTACCTTGGAAGATTTCTGATAGAATATAAGTGTTGATATTTACTGTCTGACATGTCGGAAATAATACTTTGAATTTTATGCAACATACTTTGTACGCTTTGTAAATTAGAAAGTTGTACAATTTCTGATATCTCTTGTATATTACTGAAGGCCATCAAATCTTCCTTATTTTCTTGAAATTCATATTTGCGCATTTTTAAAAATGCTTCCAACTAAGAAATAATTAATATATGTTTAAAGAGTTTCTTATTAGAATAATTATCAATTTGATAAAGTAAATTAGCTATTTATATCTTACTTCGAATAAATCATTCATAAAGTCTATCATTGTTTGATGTTCTAGAATAGTCGGAGCGGGAAAATCAACCACTGATTCGTCTTCCAAACATATTATATCTATACCAGAATTCTCACACTTGATATTTTCCATATAACTATCATCACTTTCTATTCTTATATCATAAATTTCTTCCGTTTGTTTTTCATTACTATCTTCGACAACGACGATGTCAAAATCAGAACTAGACGTTAATTGTTGTGACGAATCTTCTTGCAAATATTCTGTCACCATAGTATTTCCTTTTTCTATAAAACAATTTAACATTTGATTTAATATTTATACAGTATATATATATATATATATATATATATATATATATATATATATACTTTTTTTTTTAAATTATTTTGGCATACCTATCACATGTTTTAAACATTTCAAACTATCTTCATTAATTTCTTTTCCACTGGTAAATTGCACATATGCTTCGTAAAAATTAATAACATCGTCCAAAGATTTAGCTTTTTCCGCTATTTTGGAACAAATTTTTGGTAATTCGGTTTTAGCAGTTTCACATAATTCAACTCGAATATTTTTACCAGGTATATTTAATTGTTTACATAGAGCATCGAATTCAGCTTTCGCCGTTCTTTCTGATTTTTTATATTTTTCTGTCTCTTTATCTAAATCCTATAAGATTTAATAACACATATGTGAACAAAATAATAGAATATTATCAACTTATTATAGAACAACTTACATCTTGTGTTTGTTGTAATTTTTGTATTTGTTTCTTTAAACTAGGTACATCGTATTTGACAAATTTCATCAACATTTGTGCAGCTTCTGCGAGGTATATATTATCTCTTTCATACAGAGACATAATTTCCTGCCAATCCTTCATTCTTTGTGACCCATATCTTCCAAACATATTTTTAGTATTTGCTTCAGTTTCTTTCAAAATTTCAATTAATTTAAGACAGTCAAAGTAATTGATATCTATAAAAATAAATATAAAATAATACAGGATCAAATAGAAATACAAATATATGGAAACTTAATGATTACAAATAATTTAAATGTTGATCATTACCAATGGTAGATAATAAACATGCAACATCATCTCTGACTGGCATATCTTTTATGGCATCGCTTATTTTTTCTCTAATAACTACAGCTTTTGAATACCAATCTTTTTTACAATGTCTTCTACTGATCAACCATTCCAACAATCTACTGACGTTAATATCTATGGGAATGTTTTGTTCCTGAAAGAGAAAATGTTGAAAAAATTGAAGATATTTTTGTAATAGATATCTTCTGTTCATTTATTATTAAAGTATCATTTATTTACTTACATTCATGATAAATAATATATATTAATTAAATATATTATATATAGTGTAACAGCTGTTATGGTTTATGTCAACTTGGATCATGTGAAACAACTGTCAGTATAGTTCAATTCGATCATAAACTACTAGCACCATCTGCTGGACAAGAAAGAAAAGTATTACAGATTCTGTCATTATTTTACTTGAGGATTATTTCATCTGTATTATTAGTATTTTATGACAAGGAAAAAGACAATTATCTCGTTACAATTTATTTAATTTATTTGAAAAAATTGAAGGTTTTATTTTGCGTTATCATTCTTTTTATGATTACTCGTAGATTTTTAACGTACAACACAATGTCAAAGCTTGTGGCATTGGATTTTGAAGTATTTGGAACAGTTCAAGGTATGTTATGAAAAAGTATTTGCAAAATAATTGTGGAGATATTAATTAATCTATTATTTATATTTTACAGGTGTCTTCTTCAGAAAGGTATGATGAATTTTTTTTTTAAACATTTCTGCATCTTATTTGCAGATTTAAATTGAATACTTGTTTCTATAGAAAATATGAAATCAACAATTTTTTAAATGATATTATAATGTACTAAATTATATAGGTTATAAATTGTACTTATTTGTTTCTACATAAAAATGTTTTTTTAATTTTATTTTTTAATGTAGTATACTCAACAAAAAGGTCAAGAGTTAGGTTTAAAAGGATGGTGCATGAATACGAGCAAAGGAACCGTAGTTGGACAATTGGAGGGTGAAGAATCTAAAGTGGAAGAAATGTATTTGTTTAGAATATTCATATTAATTCATTACAAGTTTTATTTATTAATATATTGCAATTATTTTTTAGGAAGCGTTGGTTGCAATATAAAGGAAGCCCTCAGTCATCTATTACCAAGGCAGTATTCCAGAATGAGAAAGAGATCACGCAGCCAACCTTTACAAATTTTGACATCAGAAAATAATTGTTGAAAGTAGGAAATTAAAATAGTTTCAAAGTTATCTTATTAATTTAAATAATAATATTTATTCTGTTAATAATGCAGTATTATCAATACTTTTGCTTTAATCGCACAATGAAAAAGATGTTATAAATAAAATAATTAAAATAATTGTTACTCAAAATTTACTTTAAGCACATCATTTTGGAAAATTTAAGTCTAATACTCAATCAAAAATTAATAATTAATATTGTCAAGAGACAATAAATATTAATTATAATAATAATAAATTATATTCATTATAACCATATCTATTATCTTTCAAAATAATAAACAATCGATATTATGTTATTTCAATAATTGACATTTTGTATGTTCAAATAGCGCGCACTAATAGGAAACGTAAGAAGATGACAAGGCAGATGGCGCAGTTGTATAGACATGCGCAGAAAATCAGTTGCGTAGTTGCTTTTCGTGTTTCCGCGGTCAGTCATCATCGGTCTCATGGACGTGCGATTACCGCTTTCGGATATGTGAGTGTTTCTCGTGCGCAAAGCGAAGAGGAGGAGGTGAGAGAGAGAGAGAGAGAGAAAGATAGAACGAAAGAGAAAAAGATAGACAGAGAAAGAAAGAAGAAAAGAGAGAAAGAAATAAAGAAAGGAAGGAAGAAAGGAGAGTGAGTGAAAGATCATTCGATGGTTGTTCGGTTGTTCGGTTGTGCGGTTGTTGGAAGTATTGCGAAAGGAAGACACCTTGTATAGCCTATCATTTCTGCATCTGTTTGTTGTATCCACTTCCTAGGAGAGTTAATAACAGCAACAGCAGTAACAGTAGAAGCAGCAACAACAGCGACCTTCGTGCTAGCTGAAAAGAGAAAGATTTAGCTATGCGCTCTGTGCAGATTGACTTGAAATCAGTATTTCTACCTATTCAAACTACAGTGGTGGTGACAAAGAAGAAGACGATCAAGAAGACGACCAAGACGACGATTACGACGGCAACTATTCGTCCGTGATAACGGCAGACATTGTCGCGATTTAGATGCGCGATGGAGTCCATAAGAAAGTGGTTTTACAGGCCTAAGGTAAATACTTTTTTCTATATACATATATTCTATTTTATTTCTTTTATATTTAATTTTATGTCTTGCATTAGATATGTTTTTCTCTCTCTCTCTCCTTGTTCATGCTATATATACAGACCATCAGTCTGTCTCTCTGCAACTTGTATGCTTTTATAACTGATCGAACGTATGCACTTTCTCATATGTATATATATATACATATAGGTGTGTATGTAAGTAGTACGTTTGTTACTCTTCTCCTTTTTACCACCTGCATGCTATTGCTACCTGTTTAACAAAATTTCTCACGTTGTCGAAACCCACCCCTTTACCCTCCCCCTTTCTTTATCGTCCTCAATGAGAGATCAAATTTACCTCGTTATATCACTCTCATTTTTACTCCATCAAGCTTGTAAACATATTATAAACACATATTCCCCACCACTCCCATATTTTCCTTTTCTTACTCTTTAATCTTTTTTAAAGAAGATAAAAAAAGAATGAAAATATGTTGAAAAGAAAAAATATTGGAGTGTTCGTCGTTCTTAGCTCTTTTTTTTTGGTTGTTGTTTACATAAATCCGACAAACTTACAGCGTTATCGCGAACGTGCATTAGATCACGTTCCAATACTCGTAGAAGGAAAGAAAGAAAGAAAGAAAGAGRTAGATAGATAGATAGATTTAATTAGAAAAAGGAAAATTTGAGAAGAAACAAACAGAGGTCGGAATTTTTGGTCTATTTTTACATACGTAATCATTCAATCAAACTATAATCTATTCGTAAAGGACATTTGTTTAATATTTGATTAATCATTGCAGATGTGTTTTTAACAAACCAGATGTGTGTAATTCTTCATCAGGAAATATACATTTTTGTATATGTGTATACCAGTAGAAAGAAGATATTGTAAAAAGAATGATAGATGTTCCAAAGTTTCAAGCATGTTGGTGGTAATAATTGTTCGAGTAAAAAAGAAAAACAAAAACTGTTAGATTAATTTTTCCTCTGTAAGGACGATTGGATTAATTTAGAAGGAAACATTTCGTGTCGGGATGTTGCACAACATGGTGGGAGAGAGAGAAACCCGAGGAATAAGAGAAGAAGAAGGAGTGGAGGTGGCGATGCTCGCGCGTATCGTCTTTTTAACGTCTCTACATGCGTGTGTATGTGTGTACTGTTCGTTTTCTGTACATTTATATACTATATATATATATAAATTTATGTATGTATGTGTGTATGTGTGCTTGTCACTCGATATCTCTTCGGCCGTGTCGAGGTTACGCGGCAGGTGAAAGAAAAGGTAGCTTTTAACGTTGAAAACTCAAGCAAGCTGTGCTATCGGTTTATTCGCCGTTTAGTTTTTCAACGTTAATTCCCAACTTAAACGAAGTAACGATTGTAACGAACAAACAAAGTAGCGAAACACTAAACTAACTACCAATATCATTTCCGTTTAATTACGTTCTACTACGCACAATCGTATTTATTTATATACACCTTTGTGTATATATATATACAATGTATACATATGTATATATGTGAGATCAGGTAAAAGCGCGTGTTTGTATAAAGATTCTTTTTATTTTCTTTTTTTTTAAACATTTTTCGTTAATCGTATAGAGTTACATTCGATAGAGTTTTTTTTTTTTTTAATTTTATTTTATTTTATTTTATTTTTGTATTGTACTTTTGTAATTATTGGAAGAAATATTCAGGGATTCCCCGTCTACCTTTTCTTTCTTTCTTTCTTTTATTTTTAGTTTTTATTTCGCGATATATTTCTAATCATTTTGAGATATATATATCAATTTGTTGTGTAAAAAAGAAAATATTAAAATTGACGATAGACATTTGTATTCATTTACACACCTTTATAATTTGTACAGATAAAAGTGTGTACAAGGTTCAAGGATTTTTCGTTGAATTGAATTTATCGTAGAATAATTTTTCTTTCTTTTTTTTTTCTTTCTTCTTCTTATTCTTGTAAATGATTAATTTTGCAATTATTGAGAAAAAATATTTAATTTAAATGTCATTCTTTATTTATTTTTATTTTTATTTTTTTCATTTTATTTCGCGAACCATTCATATTCATTTTAATTTGTAGATTAATTAAAAAAAAAAGAAGTTACAATTTGATAGACATTTAAATTGTACGCAGATGCATTCCTTATTCACATCGTCTAGTCATTGTGCCAAGTTGTTACGATCGCATATTCGTAAGATAATAACTTCGACGAATGTTAGAAGGGTGTATATATATATATATATATATACATATATGTATAATAATAGCTTAGAAAAGTTTTTAGAAAGAGAAAGATAAAGAAAGAGAACAAAATTAAGATATAATCTATCGTAAATTCAAATTATAAACCACGTGAATCATTTTTTATTCAATTACTCGAAATAGTTTTTTAATGTTTTATTTTACTTTATTTTTTATGATAGATATATGTGCCCATAATTATGAGAGTGGTCTATGTATCTCTTGTTTTGAAATATTCAAAGATTTATATTTGAACACTCTATATGAATTCTATAAAATATTGAAATAACAGACATTATCTAACGCTTCATTTTTGACAATATCGTTTTCAATTACATTGAATTTATTTAATTTAAAATAATGTGGTGCATAATAACAACTGATAAACTCATTTTTATTTTTTTTTCTATTTTGGCTTAGACCACTTTCATAATTATGGGCACATATATATATCAAAGTGAAATGAATTTCAATTTAAAAAGACTAAACGATGAAGAGAGAAAGAGAGAAAGAGAAAAAGAGTGGGAAGGAAGGGAGGAGGAAGAGAGGAATGATTTTAAAAAGGGAGTCGTATAATCTAATAAATATTGCAGGTGAACAATGACGGGAAATTCCCGTTATTAGCAACGTGCTATGTTTAAATAATTCGTTGAAAAAGTATCACGCAAGTGGATAATCTTTTCTCTCTCTCTCTCTCTCACTCTCTCACACACACACACACTTGTACCCGTACTGTTTTTTGTTTTTTTTTGTAAACATATTTAGTTCTTTTTTTTAATCTATTATTCTTGGATTTTCTTTCATCATTTTTTATTTCGTTTCAATTTATCTTTTTATTACAAGTTTGAGCAAGTGAAGTAAAAGACTATTTCAAAGTGTTTTTATTTTCTTTTTTCTTTGTGTTTCTCTCTCATACCTCTTGGAGTTTAAAACTCGTCACATTCCAAGTATTTTCCCTCTTGTTTTGGTGCACTTCTACTTTTTTAAACTCGCGCATGCCTTTTTCTTACTCATTCCTTGTTTCTTCGTTATTTCCCCGCTGATTGCATCTTAATATCTAGTTATTACTCGTTATTGGCTTCCTTATTTTTAAATTAACTCTGACGTCATATAACTATCATCGAGAGATATCAAGAACACGCAAGAGATTCATCTTTTGTTTTCTTTTATTTTTTATTTTTATTTTATTCTATCCTTTTTCTTTTCCTTTCTTTCTGTCTTTTTATTGCTTCGTATTTGATCGTTTCAAATTTATTTTGAATATTTGCCAAATATTAATATTTATTATTATGTTTACCTACTCTTTCTTCATCGTTCAAAAAAAAAACAATAATTAATAGATGAATTTTAGTATTCTTATTAAATCAAGTTTTTAATTAACGTGAAATTGCATTAACCACAAAGAAACAATATATAAAATAATATATTGTAATAATATATAAAATAACAATATATAAAGTAATATAATAATATATAAAATAACAATATATAAAATACTATAATAATATATAAAATAATATAATATATTTAACCCTTTGACTGGTACGCCGTAATCATATGTTTTGCCCAGTAGTACGCCATTGCATTATTTTTATTATTCAAAGAATATAATGGCATAATAATAAATTGATATTAATAAAAAATTGTAATTGTTCAATAGGACACTTTTTATTTCAAAGTATCTTCTAATATATCTGTCATATTCAAATACACTAACTTTCAATTTCCATTTAATTTTTTATAATTGTAAAACGTTCATACACTCCTGTCATCAATGACCAACATGACAGTCAAAGTGTTAATAATATTAAATAATAATAACAAAATATAAAATAATAATATATAATGAATGAAATAGAAACAATTCGTTTGATCATTAATTTTGAAAAACTTATCATCACGTGTTGTTATCTCATAACTTTTGACAAAGTTCGATTTCATGATACGTAGAATTTCGTTGATAACCTTTGTAAGATAATTAAATGCCATGTTTCACTTGTAATTAATACATAATGATAGACACTCGTCACGTAGCGTGCTTCTAGACGTAACACACACATACACACACTAATATACATCAACTACATTATTATTTACCGATACATGACACGATACGACACACCACACCATACCACACGCGGGAGTTTCGAATCTCTTCTTCCTCCTCCTCCACCTCTTCCTCCTCCTCCTCCTTCTCCTTCTCCTCTTCCTTCCTAGCTTTTGAAAGAGAATCCGAATAAGAAATTTCTCTTTTGTCATGGTCTTTGTGTAAACACGTTAGATTTTCTATTTCGATGCTGTCTTACACGAGCTCAACATACAAAATAAGATTAGAAACGTGACAAGAAAACTTAACTTTCGATTATTTTAAATAAACGCGCTTCAACTTCTTCCGAATTTTTTTTTTTTTTACTTTTTTTTTTTTTTTGATACCTTAAAAGTAAAATTAATTATTTAAAGAAAACAATGTTATAGAAAATTTTTATCATTCAACAAAATTTTCATTCGGTTTGAATAAACGCGGGAAAAATTTTCTTTTTCTTTGTTTTCTTTTTATTTTATTTTATTTTTGTTTTGTTTTGTTATTTCGAAAGTAAAATTAATTATTTAATGAAATAAACGTTGCAGAACAATTTTATTTTCCTTTGTTTTCTATTTTCTTTTTACTTTTGATACTTCGAAAGTGAAATCAATTATTTAAATAATACAACTTGGTAGATAATTTTCATTTTATTCGAATAAAACGATTC